AGGAGAAGACTTTTTAAAAATGCCATTACTTTTTCACTATTTCACAATTATCTCCCCTTGGAAGAGGCCGGGTGTGGCCTTTCATTTGAACAAACATGAATCCCCTTCACCTAAGGATACTTTGTGCCAAGTTTGGTTGAAATTGGCCCAGTGGTTCTTGAGAAGAAGTCGAAAATGTGAAAAGTTAACGAGACAATGACGACGACGACAACGACGAAAACAGACAAGGACAAATTTTAATCAGAAAAGCTCACTTGAGGCTTCGGCTCAGGTGAGCTAAAAATTGAAAATGTGATCACATTTACCTATTTTATGGCAGTCAAAACATGCATGGAATGCCTATTTCCGGAAAATCATTAAAAATTTGCTTCTTAAAAGCATTTTTGAATATGTCCACATTATATATCATTAATTTGAAAGAGCTCTGTTAACTTTATGCAAAAATTGGCCCTGTAGATAAACTAACTGATAGATTAAAACCTGATGTTTTATTTCAAGCATTAAAATAAAATAGATACTTTGTGTTTTCATTTCCTATAAAAATTTTCTTTTAACAATCCAGACCTTTAGGAACTTGCTTTATGAAATAGCAATGTTCCTGAATTTTAAGGTAAACAGGTATATTTGAGTACAATCGGAGAAGAAAAAATAACAAGAGTGCACTCTATCTGATCTAAAAGACAAAACATCAGAAACAGTTTTATCATTCAATAGTTGCTTACTGTATACAAGGAAATTTTCGCCCCCGTTTTATTTTCGCCCCTTTCGCCCTTTCCTCATTTGGGCGAATTTTAAACGGGGCGAAATGAAATAATACATTATAATTTCTTTAATAATATTATGATTGGATAAATTTCAAATGGGGCGAAATTGTTTGCAATGTGTAAAAGGGCGAAAATTAAAGGGGGCGAAAATAACCCTGTATACAGTATTTTAGGTGAGAGGTTGCGTTCTATATTAGATATTAAAAACTAGTTTTACAAATTAGTCGATTTTTTTTAAATATGAGAGAATTGACGCATTTTGTGACGTTATAATGCATTGACTAGCCAGAAAATTACGTCTTTTTTGATACATACGAAATCACCAAATATCTAAGTGTTATTCAATGCATTGTTAACTAAAATAAGCAGTCTCCGTTTTCAGAGGTTCACAAGGCCAAAAAAAATCAAGGTGAATCATTGAATAAAAACAGTATTCCACGGATGAAATAACGCCTTCCTGCATCGTTCTACTGTTATCCTGTTGGCTTCACAACTCTTGGCGCAAACGTGGACTGCAGCTCTCCTCTTACACCTGTCGTGTGCTGCAACTTTCCATGAGGCTGAATGCTTGAGTGCTATCCTTGAACCGCTTTTTGTCGGCAACACGGGCTCGCTTTCCTTCCAGTAGTACACCAAAGATTAGTTTGTTGGGGAGTTGATGGTCTGGCATTCGGTCAATGTGTCTCTCCCAGCAGAGATATTACTGCATGAGCATGGTGTAGATGTTGGACAAACCAGCTCGGGTGAGGACTTCTGTGTCAGATATCTTTTCTTGCCATTTGATACGGAGAAGCTTTCGAAAGCTGCTGATGTGGAAGTGGTTCAGCATTTTGGCATGCTTCTGGTAGACAATTCACGCTTACAGTCATACAGCAGTGTTGTGAGAAACACTGCACGGTAAATCTTATTCTTTGTCTCTTTTGTAATGCATCTTCTGTCCCACATGTTCTTGTACAGTCAGCCGAAAGCACGCTCGCCTTGGCCTGTCTAGCGTTTACCTCGTCATCGATCACAATGTTCCTGGAGAGGATGCTACCGAGGTACATAAACTTGTCTACTACATTTAGCCGTTGATTGTTGATGACGATGTTGGGCTTAACATACGATCCAGGTGCTGGATGGTGCATGATTTCTTTCTTCTGTGTGCTGATAGTAAGGTCAAAGTTGTTGCAGAGAGCAGATACTTTGTCAACGCTGTGCTGCATATTTACCTTGGAGATAGAGTTGAGGGCAGAATCATCAGCAAGCAGGATGTTGTTGATGGTGTCCGATTGAACAGTGTACGTTGCTTGTAGACGTCTGAGGTTGAAGATTGATCCATCAAAGCGCCATTTGATGCCGATTCCAATGCCCGGGCCTTCAAAGGCATCAGTCAGCATGACGGAGAACATCAAGCTAAAGAGTGTCCCTGCTTCACACAGCCCTGCTTCACTCCATTAGAGACAGGGATTGGCTCTGAATATTTGCCGCCGTCTTTGACTCTCGCCTGCATACCATCGTGCAGCTGTGAACGATAGTGATGAAATTTGTTGGGCATCCATTCATCGTCATGATTCGTCAAAGGCCTTCTCTGCTTACAGTGTCAAAGGCCTTGGTCAGTTCGACGTCGGTAGAGTAGAGATCGGAGTTCTATACCTCACAATTCTCTTGCAGCTGATGTGCAGGGAACACCATGTTGATTGTACCGCGATTCATCCGGAAGCCTCACTGACTGTCGGGCAGGTGGCTATCATCAAGGTGTTAAATGTGACGGTTAAGCAGAACCTGCACTAGCGCATTGGCTGCGATGGATTACAGAGTAAAAGGAAGAGGGCTGCTCAGTCGCACAAGTGGCTGCCAAACTACAACGTTGCTCCTCTCAGTGAGGAGCGACCCAATGGCCTATGAGAATAAACACACATTTTTTTTTCAATGGGTGGCACTGTAGCTCTCCGATCTGTAAATAAACATTTTCCAGAGAGCTACAGTTCTGCAGCTAAGATTCTATATACCATGTTTGGTAAACATAAAAGGATCAAAAGTGAATTTGAAGGTTCCCACGAGTGCCAAACAAGTTGTACAGGGTATACACAGGGATCAGTAAGTAAATGTCGATCAAGTCCCAGCATCCAATGATTCATGCTCTTTTTCGATAGGGCTACTAAGACCAGAAATTTTAAAGGTGGTCTTTAAAATCTCTGCCTTCATACCACAGAACTAGTTTCGGAAATAAATTTTAACTCCATAGTAAAATAATAACACAAGGTATCTAACTCCGAATAACACAAGGTATCGAACTCCGAATAACACTAGGTACCCCCTCTTCGAAAACGCACTCATTTACACTTCCAGATGAAATATACTGGCATGGCCTATGCTCGGCACTTACGGCCTTTGTGCAGGGAGGGATCTTTATCGTGCCGCACCTACTGTGACACGGGGCCTCGGTTTATACGTTCTCATCCGAAGGACCGCCCCATTTAGTCGCCTTTTACGACAAACAAGGGGTACTGGGGACCTATTCTAACCCGGATCCCCACGGTGTTGCCGATAAATACAATTTAACATTGAGTCAAATGCTGACTTACGTTTTATATCAATTGTTATTCCATTATTTATACACTGAATTGACGACGGACTTTTCCGTTGTTTCCCGATCGTGACAGGGTGCACAGGGCAGGTGTGACTGGCCACTCCTTCATTCCACCTGATTCCATCTCCGATGTTTCGGAGGTCCGTGATTGCTCTGTCCCTGTTCTGTATTGTTTCATTGACTTAGATATTTAATACTGTTTCTTATCTTTATATCCTTATTGTATAGACATTTCATTACTTTAAATTATAATTGAACAACCTACTACAACTAATTCTGTGAAAAAAAATGCATTGAAATCAATTTCTTTTCAAAAACTTCAACGAATTAAAAGCTGTGAGATTTGATAAGGGGTAAGTTTGCAAATATGTCTATATTTAGAATGATAAAACAAGATGAGCTCCGAAAAAATTACATGACAGTGGAAAAATCCTGAACTTTTTTTCCACATTTGAATAAAATGAAGATGCTTTATCTTTATAATCTAGGTTGTTCCAAGGGCTTCTTTGGTTTGAAATGTGAAAGGACTTGCCCATTTCCAACATTTGGAAAGGACTGTCAAATGGAATGTAAATGTAGCGAAATACTTTGTAGTCCTGTTAGTGGTTGTAAAGGTAAATATTTTTTTACACTGCGTAAAAATCCAATTTGAAATAACCAGAAAACAAACTAAAAATACCCCCAAAACACTGACGCCATTACAATCAAACCTGTACTAGAAATACATTCTACCTAACATACACACACCCTCTCACACCCTAATACACTCTCACAGCACAATTCTCGCAAAAATGCTTATTCTAGCGCCTATGTTTTAAAGTGTTGCCTTTTATTCTTTTTTTTTTAACATATTTGTACATGTATAACCGTATATATGTCCAAATATTTAAGAAAACAACGCAAAAATTAATTCTTCATTATTTTAATCTTCCTTTTCTTATTTTTAGATGAACTCTTACAAACCATTAAACTGGAATCGGAATCGGAATCCATAACACCATATAAAATTACAAATTTTACAAAGCTTTATGAATTTGGAAAAAATTCAACCTATTTTGCAGGCAATGAAAAAACTATGATTGCTCTTATAATTATACTTGTTTTGAATGCAGTGTTAATTATTACTCTTGTGTGTTCTGCTATTTTGTGTTTTGTGAAAAGGAAAAGTCGCATCGAAAACATTCATCAATCGGATGTCACCCATCAAACCAGAACAATTTTGGAAAAAATTACACCTTTTGAAGAAACTATCAATCGAGAGAATGAAACTTTTCTACAAAACATACAAAGTATCAATAATATTAATGAAAATTTTGATTTTCTTAATAAAAATCAAGAAGCACAGGGAGATGACAGCAAACTTTCCGTATTACAGGAACATGGCATGTATTTAGATCCACATAAACAAGAGCATGATGATACAAATGGAGTTTATCTTACTGTTGTCTGATATTTAATTATTCGTTTTTTTTTTTTGTTTTTTTTTGGGGGGGGGGGGTTGATATGCAAAATCTCATTATATCAATTATTAATTTGGATTATCTTTTTTATCTCACTTAACCATTTTAACATTTTAATACAACTGTGTTTGTAAAATATTTTGTGAATCAATGTAAATTATGAAATACTGCATGATAAATAGATGCTAAGTTTTCTTTTCCTTTTTTAAAATATGTAACTAAAAGCCACATAAAGTCAGTGTCTTCTCTGTGTTTTGCGTTTTTTGCAGTAATTTTCTTTAAACCAATGATTTCGAGATAAAAATGTTTTATAAATTTTCATTTTCCATGAGCTGTTCGAATTCCCTTTCGTTTTTTTTCACCCCATTTTGGTATGGTTCTCCCTTTCCTTTTTCATCAATATGACCTTCTTTGAAAGTGGGACAACAACATTTCCAGCAATCACGGCCTGAAATTAAAGATAAAAAAAATACACCCCTAGTTGTTTTGTTGTTGTTGTTTGTTTTTTTTTTTTTTACAAAAAGCTGTATACACTACTAACAAAGTATTACACACAAACACACCTTACACATAAAGAGACAGACATGGATAGAGAATAAGACGTGGAATTCTATGGCTAGTGATGTATTACATTCAGTAAATGCATACATACAAAACATTTATACATTTTTTTTTCTTGAAGAAAAATGCCACAATATCCCTTTAAAACCATCTGATTTGTACAAACACCATATACAGGTTGGCCTTTGATTTTGAACTTCTTTTTAACTATTTTATGGCTTATATTAAAATCGCACGATTTCAAGTGGATGAACTAGTTATTACATGAAAGCATATCCTGAGATATTTATAATTTTCATTTTTTTATGCTACCATTGTAAACCTCTGCTTTTTTTTTATTATTCTAGAAATCATTATTTAAAGATCATTAAAAGGAAAAATTCTCTTCACTTATTATTATTTTTTACATATTTTTTGTCAGTAGCAATCGACCTTATAGTAAAAGAGTGACGGTATTGAATACGTACAATCTTGTTGACTTTCCTTTCGCATTAGCTGTAACACTGTTATTATGATAAGGAAGATGGAAATGATGAAAACACCAATAATAATGAATATCAAAGACCACCGTGTATTCCATTGTACTATTAAAGCTTTGTTTTCCTCTTCTCTAAAAAAAATATTTTGAAAGATATTAAGGTTTATAAACCATTTTTTCACTATTATAAAATGTCGTTTTAAACTGAATGATTTTCGTAAAGCAGTATATCGTGGTATATACTTAAACGAAAAATGCAAATAGTTAAATCATTGGTTGAACGGCATGCATACACAAACATTACTTGACTAAAAAAAAATGGAATTAATCATTTTTTGTTGGATGGACATTGAGTCAAAAAGAAATTGTTTTCGGAAATTCTAACTTAAAAGTAATCAAAAATATGAAAAACTAAAAAGTAATTTTTTCCCGCAATCACCATTACTGTCCGATACACATACATTGGTGTAGGAAAAAGTACAATTAATAGAATTATAACCTAAAATTACCCTTTTCTTCTTAAACAAAAATTTCTTTGAATTTCATGTTTAAGATAGTAAAGCAAGTAGAGCAGAAGACACCACTGTTTTTGACCTTACATGAAAAAAATCATATTAATTAGAAAATGAATTTAATAGCTACCAGTTATGGGTGTATACGCTGGTTTCGGACAGTTTACCCTTTGAAACCTGCAAACTTTTTTTTAAAAAGCGTATCGGGTAACTTGTTGAAACCCGGGTTATACTGTACATGTATAATTTTAGTATGCATTTAAATTATTCCTTGTTATTCTACTTTTTTTCTTCAATTAAGACATTATGACATTAATTTGTAGAGAATTTCAATGCTTCATCAGGCGGATCGATACGTTTTCGACGCAATTCATTATGGCGTAGGTAACCCATGTTATACAATAAAGACTGACTGTTCAGCCAATCAAACTTTTTTCCAAAATGAATAAAATTTTGGATTTGTCCTAGAACCGAACTCTGCTGAACCAACACTAATACAGATTTCCAAACTGGGCTTCTTCCATATAAAAGTTCAAATATTTGAGCTAGATAAGCGAACTGTATAACCAAAGAACTTTTAAGTAACTGTCACATCACATTATAGCGATATGGTTCGCCGTTTGTGCAATAATGTATTCAAAATATTAAAGAGAAAATGAAACAAGAGGCCCAAGGGCCACTTCGCTCACCTGAGCACATCTACTAGGAAAAAGCACATATCAGACCAAAACTGAAAGTTTACCGGGGGGGGGGGGGGGGGGGCTTGAATTTTAACCCTCTTGGGTGTCATGATTTGAACAATGTACAATCTACACTACCTGAGGATGATTCCATGTAAATAAGAAAATATCACTAATTATGGCTTTGAAGTACATGAAAAGAAGTTTTTAAAAGGTTTCCCGATACATCCTTATGTACAAATTTGGTCAGCCATTTTGGGCCCAAAACTAGCCCCAGAGGTCATGATTTGAACAAGCTTGAATTTTCACTAACTGTGGATGATTCCACATAAGTTTCGTCTTTCCTGGCCCAAAGGTTCTTGAGAAGAAGATTTTTAAAGTTTTTCCTATATATTCCTAGTAAAACTTTGGTCAGCCATTTTGGCCCCACCCTAGCCCCAGGGGTCATGATTTGAACAAACTTGAATCTACACTACCTGAGGATAATTTCTTCTAAGTTTCATATTTCCTTTCTCAATGATTCTTAAGAAGAATATTTTTAAAAGATTTTTCCTATATATTCCTATGTAAAATTTTGGTTGGCCATTTTGGCCCCGCCCTAGCCCCGGGGGTCATGATTTGAACAAACTTGAATCCACACTACCTGAGGATGATTGCACATGAGTTTCATCTTTCCTGACCCAGTGGTTCTTAAGAAGAAGATTTTTAAAGATTTTTCCTATGTATTCCTATGTAAAACTTTGGTCGGCCATTTTGGCCCCGCCCTAGCCCTGGGGATCATGATTTGAACAAACCTGAATCCACACTACCTGAGGATGATTGCACATGAGTTTCATCTTTCCTGGCCCAGTGGTTCTTAAGAAAAAGATTTTTAAAGATTTTTCCTATATATTCCAATGTAAAATTTTGGTCGGCCATTTTGGCCCCGCCCTAGCCCCGGGGATCATGATTTGAACAAATTTGAATCAACACTACCTGAGGATGATTCCACATGAGTTTCATCTTTCCTGGCCCAGTGGTTCTTGAGAAGAAGATTTTTTAAAAATGCTATAAATCATAATTATCTCCCCTTGGAAGATGGCGTGGCCCTTCATTTGTACAATCTTGAATCCCCTTCACCCAAGGATGCTTTGTGCTAAGTTTGGTTGAAATTGGCCCAGTGGTTCTTGAGAAGAAGATGAAAATGTGAAAAGTTTACGACAACGACAACGACAACGCCAACAACAACGACAACGAGAGACGACGGACAAATTTTGATCAGAAAAGCTCACTTGAGCCTTCGGCTCAGGTGAGCTAAAAACAATGCTAAAAAATCTTGGTCGGTATTACAATAATCTTCATAGTATTTCACAGGATTTGATCGAAGTGAAAATAAGTTTATTCCCATGTAAACTTTTTAACATTATTTTTGCATATACCAGAAAATGTGTATTTACACGAGAACTGCGGATTGCTACATTATAAATGAAATTATGTAATTAATTTGATACCAAGACCTCCAACGATCTTACATGAAATGTACAGTTATGTTAAAGGAAAGTTTTTATGAAATGTAGAAACAAAGATAATACTTTTCCCCATTATTGGCAGTGCTTGAATTGAAAATGTGCGTTCCATGGACACCGACATAACACTCTTGATCTAAAAAAAAAATACAGTCTCTGTAAGCTTTGTACTTAAAATATGTCTTTGAAAGCTTTTAAGATTTTAGTTTTTTTCTTTTCTGTACTTTATAAAATGTGCTGCGATTTTTATCTAATCTGTTTTATATTGAAGCACTTAATTGAAGGCCCTTGTGCATATTTTCAATTTTTATTTAAAACTCATTAATGAACATTGTGTTACAGATTTTCCCCTTACCAAAACAACCCACAACATTGGATCACCCCGATTTATGCCCTGAATATTAAATGTATATGTCGTAATTTTATTTGTATATATCATGGGAATATCACCAGTCATCGTATATTATTAATGTACGAGGGGCATTTCAAAAGTTCTGGCAACTGTTTAATAAAAGATTAACCATTTTACGGAAATTATTGAGTTTGATATCATTGGAAAGATCAGAAAATTATACACATATTGTGACGTCACTTTATAATTTTCATGACGTAATAACTCCGAAAATGACGTCAGAATATAGAATGTTTAGCATACTGAAAAGTCGCGTTTTTATCCACATGAGACGATCCTAAAAGTTCTGTCAAAGGCTCATTTGAAAAAATATTTCATAGAAAATTTGAATTTGAAAAGAGGTAGAGTAGGACTATAATACTGTTTATCAGCAATTTCATTATTCATTGTATGGTTTGTTTACGAGCACGGTTTTTGTCCGGTTATGCTATCATAGACATTCATTTAGGATTTTTATTTACATGATACGGCTGGCTTATCGGTCTTTTATATAGCTTTCCATTGTTCGAAATAAAACATGTTCTGTATTAAACTGATGTATATTAATGCAGTTTTTATCAAATATATTTTGAGTAACAGGACTCTTACCGTTCACGAATAAAATGTACTAAATCTTGTCCCCGACTTGATTCTGTGCGTATTTTTTCATATAAATTCAACTTCGGCGCCCCAAAACTCACTACTGCTTTTGACTTTTGAATCCAAAACATGAATATAAGTTACTCAGACATGTAAAATCTTATTTATTTTCCATGCATTAAAATTTGCGAATATGTGGAGGTACGGTGGGGTTACAACTGCGCCGCCGCCATTTTGGATTTTACGAGAAAATACTGGGCACACTAAACTTAACTTCCCTTGAGCCTTCATCGATCCCACGAATATGGTTAAAATACCTGACGAATTAATGCCATTGAATTTTGTAACACGATCGCCTATTTGCTTTGATTGTCAACTTCGTCTTTTTCTCACATTTAGGTCTCTTTTACACAAAAGTTTGAGCGAGATTCGATAAAACCATGCTAAATTTTACACTCGCTAAAACCATTTCAGAACAAGAAGATCTCCAAAATTAAATACCATATGATAGATTGTAGTCTATGCAAACATTCCACCAAATGGCATTTGCGTCCGTTAGCTTGCGTCCGAGTAATGAGCAAAAGTTGTCTTGAAAATTATAATTTGATCAAATTGCTCTTTTGTTACGTCATTTTTCATAGTCAGTATGCTAAACATTCAATATTGTGATGTCATTTTCGGAGTTATTACGTCATAAAAATTATAAAGTGACGTCACAATATGTGCATATTTTTCTGATCTTTCCAATGATATCAAACTCAATAATTTCCGTTAAACGGTTAATCTTTTATTAAACAGTTGCCAGAACTTTTGAAATGCCCCTCGTATGCTTCATATTTCATCGTATATTTGTATTTATGTGAAGCATAAAGTAATTTATACCATCTCTATTGTAAAATTTTTATTTTCTATATTCCGGATTTTGTTATGCCTTCAGTTAAGATTTTCGTCTTACAAAATCCTTTATCTCGGATCACGTGATCATTGTTTACTGTAATTTTAGAAGGGAGAACATTTTGATTTCATTTCGTTGGACTTTGAGTATTTTCGTTGCGTTATAAGGAATTCTTTCGAGATAATCACGTTTCTCCAGTTGATGTTGAATTATTAGACCAGTAATTGTAAGTAAAATGTGAATTTTAACATTTTATACAACGTTTTCCAAACTGATTGACCAGTGGCAGTGGCTGGTTTCGTAACCTCCCTTCTTACATAACACATTTGTTATGACAAAAAACGTTTTGATACTTGGTCACTCCTTTGTGCGGAGATTAGAACATTTTGTTTTAAACAATTTGGACAGCCGAGTGAACGAAAACCTGAATTTGAATAAAGATGAGGTTCGCATTTGTTACAGTGGACATGGTGGCGCGTTTTTTAATCAAGTCCCATCTTTTTTGCCATTTTTAGTCATGTGTGTTTTTATTGTGTACATACTTAGAGTTCTATATGCATTGTTGTTCTATATTAATTAGGGCAAATTTAAGATATGCATTTCCTTTTTTATTGTATGTACCTTTTTGGTTGTTTTTAATTTTTCATTGTGACAGGTGTAACTATATTTAATATCAAACAATACTGCTGTATATTTCATTGGCATTTGTAATAAATGCTCTTTTCAATTCAAATACTTGTTGATATCATTTTTGGCAAAAAACAGAGCAGAGTAGATTCTGGCAGAAAAACAGAGGATTGGTATTTGATGTAAAAAATAGACGATGGTATAAGTTTATTTCATGAATATTGTTTGGTTGTATAGTACAAACCCGAATTTCCATTGATCAGCCATATCGTAATAACAAATGGCCACCTGGCATTGTTATTCGACTCATGTAACTAAAAATACTATTGGCATCATCTCCAATGTAATTCCCAACCAATAATTCACCCTTTTTTACAGCGTTTGTTATACTTTTTAAAGCCTTGTTTACTTGGTGCAAAGTTGTTGACAAATGGCGGCACCGCACGTTATTCACGCGTGGAGTATTTCACACCTACCAACCAAAAGGTATATAACAGATGTTCTGAGAGACAAACGCCAGTAGTGCTTGCGCTGCTCAGTCAGGCATGGTACCTTCAGTGCCCTTCAGACTGGTACTCTACCCATAGGTACGTTTGTACCATTAGTTTGGGTAGGCCTGATACCTTTTCACACCCAGTATTTTGGATCCCTATGTCTTTCCTGGGTAAATTCACCATTTTAGGGGTAAAACACCCATTTTCTTGGTAAAATACCCATTTTGTGAATATAACAGCCATTTTTCCCAGTTTCTGCCACTTATTGTTGAGTTTGCCCATATTTTAGTAAATTCCTGAATTTTTAGCTGTTTTAACTGTTTTTCATTGATTTTCAATAAATTTATAGAAAATTAACCATCTTTTCTTATTATTGTGTAAATTTCAGAAATACAGTCCCTGAAACGTTCTATTTTCCCATTTTTCCGTTCGCTCACCGTTCGTTCAGCGTTCGTTCACCGTTCGTTCAACGTGCGTTCACAGTTCGTTCTTCGTTCACAGTATTGCGTTTATGTTTCACATTCAATTTAAAACTTAATCCTTCCAAGTATATATTCGAATTATTTTTTTTCTGCAGGAATGCAAAAATCAGATCTAGAAATGATAGGGAAGAATATTAAAGTTTTTTGGAATACTAAGTGACTCCTTGCCTTCGGCATGTTCGCTGAAACGCGATTTCCACACCTCCACTGTGTCGAATTATTTTGATTGACAGCACAAGCACGCTACTACTGTACAAATATAACACGGACTTCCTGTGAACTTGATGATGGTAAATAGAAGCCAATGATTACTGTCAAATGGATTTGTTAGTCTTAAAAAAAAGATTACCTTTTTTGCTTGGAATATTTAGGAAAAATAATTAAAATTTTTATTTGATACAACATATATCTGAGAATCGAGGGGGTTATCTATCTCTCTCTTACGCTCTCTCTCTCTCTCTCTCTCTCTCTCTCGAACATTTTTCCGTTCAATAAAAATTATGACGGCACATTACTTATTTAGTTTTGAACATTTAATCTACACATGTATTACAAATAATTTGAATGCCTCTTTCCAACATCTTGACCGAGTATAATCACGGCCGGGAAATTCTACAGATACATGAAGAAGTTAGGTAAAATAATCGTCACAGAAGAATAAAAGGGCACATAAATATAGAATATTTTGTAGTAGAATTTAAATAAAACGAGAATTTTTATGCAATACGATAACAGTCAATGTCAACAGATAATTGTGAATTTTAAAAAAAATCCGTTATTTTACTCAGAATCGCTTTGGAACGGAAATACATGTACAGCTGTTTCAACCCCGTACAATGTAATTAATTCATTCTATAATTAACAATTTTATCTTCAGAAGTCCACATTATTTTATTAGTGAAAAGAATAAGCATAAAATCGTGGAGAAAGCGCTTTTCTCGAAAAGTAACGGGCGCACTAAGCTGAAATTTTCAGTAAATGTTTATTTATCATATTTAAGTGTATCATAATGTTTTTGATTATATATATGCAAAAATAAAGATTTTATTCTGCTTGAATATGCACAGGGTACGGTCCTACGGCGCACGGTAAAAATAACAAGGTTTTATTAGAGAATATACAAGTATTATTTCGTAATAAAAGTTATCAATACATAAGACTAGGATGAAAATTGTCCTAATTAGATTCCTTAATCAATTCTGTCGTCTTTTTGAAAATTTCAAGGCATTTGGTTAATTTTTGGCATTTTCCCGAGCATTCGAAATGGGAAAGTGATAAAAACAATACATGAAAAATGGCGACGTTTGATGACGTTACGGCGCACCGGAGAACAGTTAAGTTAGAATAGGATGTTGTAATGACACCTCAAGAGACTTTAAATAAATACACAGGAAAGAAAATATGACAAATATCACCAGATCTTTAAAATATTAATTAAATGGAAGTTTTCTTAGCGAAGTTCTCTTTATCGAGTCCCCAGGGAGTACAAAACATACGGACAGACTGCCATTGTAGTAGCAAAAAAAGCTGTCACTGTCGACCGTCGATATGAGATTCTCTGTTAGTTGAATGATGGTGAGAATACTGTCCGTAACTTGCTAATAAATCTTCAGTAGATCGCACGAGTGTGCCACATTGGTTCCTTAACTGGATATAAACACTCACGTATGTAAATCAGTAAAATTTCTAAATTTAAGTGGGGCTTATCCAACTTTATTTTTGATAAACATGAAACGTGACGTTGTTTTAGACAACTTGACGTTATAATCCGTGCGCCGTAGGGCGATACAGTACATAACATAAAATATCAAAATATGTTTATTTATGCATGTATCTATTTGAAATTTGCTATATATATTCATATTTTAAGGAATTTCCACCCTCACAATTTTATAGGTTCAAAGTACAAAAACTGCATATATTTTCATTCAATATACTTTAAACTTTCCATTTATTGCAAAAAATGTATAGGTCACCATATTATTTAAGATGCAAAACATAAATAAACAGAAGTGTATGTCAACATAAAAAATGTACATTTTTTGTTAAAAGTATTGAGAAAAATATGTAAAAACTGGTTAATATGCATAATTATGATGCTGAGTGTTCCTAAATACGTCCCACCTAAAAGATACTTTTGAATTGTGAATATCAGGTAAACTATATTACAGAAAAGCAAATGCCTGAATGAAAAGACTTTAGAAGGAGTTATTGCCCTTGTAAACATTATTTAAAGATTGAATAATTGATTAAATATAGAAGATATGCATTTTTTGAATTCTAAGATCAATATTTATTATTACACCTATTGTAAAGCATTCTTTCAAGAGATATTTCTCTAAAATGTACGAATTTAAACTAATTACAGTTTTTGCAAAAACCTATGACGTCATAGGAGGGTGGAATTACCTTAAGTACTAAAGAGTAGTGAAAATTTCAGAATCCAGTGATGATTATTTTTCAAACTAGACAACTTGTCCACGATTTTACGGGACAACCCTCGTATAAGTATAATAATTTATTTTTTAAGTACAGGCGGTAACAAATACACATTTAACGGCGATTAAAATCATATCATTATAATATCGATTTAAACATATAGGTATGTTCAGAAAAAAATGTTTTTATTTATTTATTTATTGATGAATAAATTAATTAATTAATTAATTTATTTATTTATCAATTGTTTATCTCAGTAGTAGTTTTATCTTCTAAAGTCCACATTGTTTTATTAGTTAAAAGAATACGCATAATTATTTACACTATAAGATAAATTTATTTTTTAACTACACTCGGAAACAAATACACGTTTGACGGCGATTAAAATCATGTTATTAAAATATCGATTTTAACATACGTATGTGTATATTTTTTTTTTATTATTCATATATTTATTTCTCTTTTGTTTATTTATTGTGTATTTTTTTTTTGACATTTGAATAATAGAATAAAAGAATAATTTCAATACAAGGAAAAGACTGAGGGCATTCCGAATAAATCGTTCATCTTGCGTTCACCGTTCACATTGCGCTCGCGTTCGCGCTCCGTTTGCGTTCTGCGTTCACTCACCGTTCACCGTTCACACATCGTTCACCAAGTTGCGTTCACCGTTTGCACATCGTTCACTAACCGTTCGCTCTGCGTTCGTTCAGCGTTCGTTTACCGTTCGTTCAGCGTTCGTTCACCGTTCAGGTGGGAAAGTAGAACGTTTCATGATCAGGGACTGTAAGAGACCCACGTATAATTTCTGTAACGGGGTAAACCATAGAGTATTTAAAGAATACAAAGTATTCAAAAACCACCACTATACCCAGAAACGTTACAATTATGTATTCAGTAAAGGTTTACACAAAGCAATAGATCGTCTGAATCAAAATTTGAATGCTTTTGACTTATTTAATTTATGAAACATGCTTTTTGTAATAATTTGCACCTCAATTTTTTTTATTTTGTTTTACAAATACAAGTAACAATATTAAATTTCAATTGAAACTGTTACAATCTTATGATATTTAAAAATTATACATACATTTATAGGCTTCATTTGAACGATAATGTTGCGGACAATTCACTTTATGATCTTGACACGGTATGGTGTAGTGATTGTCGACTCTTGCTTTCTCGGAGTCATAAAATGGGCAAAAGTGTCCTTTATAAAGAATAATAATTTATAATAATAATTCCAACACAAAACTTACATTCTATTTACACAATCAAATGAAGTTCTAGATTTTCTTTTATTTTACAGGGTGTCCCAGAATATATGATACCATTTCATGATTATATAAATTAAATGTGCTCACTGTGAAAAAAAAAACTATTGTTTTTAAATTACGTCCCTAGATAAAATCCAATCCGGGTAATGATCATGTCTAGACAATGTATTTATTTTACCATCAATTTTATATTGCCTTTTTTTCTGAGGTAGCTCTCCTCAAACTCACATCGACAGAATATATTAACTTCAGAAACGAGGGCCTAGGATTATTTTAAATGAAACATTTGATGCACCTTCAATGCCCTTGTTTAACAGTTTACGAACTTCTATATCTACAGAAAAGCATTCTGATGTTCAAAATAGTTCATCATATTTCTCCGGATTATATGCATGATTTTTTTTTGAATTTTGAAAGTTATGGATCATACACGTTACGCTCAGATACAAATTTAGATCTTCGATTCGTTTACCAAAATATAATACAAATTTATTCAAAAAATCTTTACAACATTCAAGGGTTATTATCTAGAATAAGTTGCCTATAAGTATTAGGAATTCTAAATCCCTTGCAATATATAAAAGTAGTGTTGAAAAATTTTAACTTAAAAAACGAACTTGTTCTACATTAAATATGTTTTCTTTTCCTTTCAATGATGTGTCAATATTTAATTTATTCTGCTGTAACAAAGTGTTTATATCTTATTGTTTCATGTTTGTAATTATTGTCTTTATTGAAAAAAAACTTTGTATATGTGCTATAAAGAAGGCCCCGAGGAAGACTAGTGCTTGCACCAATCGTGTTCTATAAAGTATTATTAGGGTCTTCCGCTTCCTTCGGAAGACCCTACTGTTTTTCTACTGTTTCTTATTATTAGGGTCTTCCGCTTCCTTCGGAAGACCCTACTGTTATTCTATTGTTTCTTATTAATCTTTTGTTTTCCCGTTCGATTTTAGACAGGCGATTTCTCAAAGACATTTTGACTGATTTTTATAAAACTTTCAGGTTAGATACCTTGTAGTTAAACTATTTACACCTGTTTTCAATTTTTTGATGCATGCCTTCATTTGTGAGTTTTTGCCCTTTAATTAATAATTTTGATGTCTTGTTTCCACTAAAAATCTCAAGAACGACTTACACGAAAGTTGGAGAACTTGTAGCCAATGCATTGTAGATGTGCAGAACGATAAAAGATGATTTCTTAAAGTTTGGAAGCTATAAAACGGCAAATTTTATTAATTTTTTTTCCTTGAGTTTTTGCTACTTTTTATGTAATAACTTTTGAACCGAGAATAATTTGGTAAGAAATATAAAACAAAAGTTGTGTGTAAGTACGAGAGCTTTCATATAAGATTAATGAAAAGGGACTGGTCCCTTTAATTAGGGGGTAATAGCTCATACACGTTTTTTTTTCTGATAGCTAAAAATATTGGTAAATTATGAAAAAGTTTGACTGAAATAATTTCGAACTTATTAAATCTTGTCATTTGATATAAAAACGCAGTACAGTTAAGGTGCGCAATGGAAATAACGACTATATTTTGTATTTAAAAATGTATTCGTAATCGAGATGGAGATTATTTCTAATACATTATTTATATCGGATAATTTTAATTATGATTAATAGGTACATATCGAGGACGATTATATTTTATATTTAGACTAGTCACGTGATGCGGCAGTCACGAGATTTTCGCACATTGACTTGAAGTGTTGATGTTACATATAGATATCACCAGTGCAAAGGCATATCCAAGTTAAATTTCCAAGTTTAGTATATTAATATTTTCAAAAAAGTGCTGCGATCCTGTCTAAATTCTGCAATTTTATTGTTAAAATTATACTTGTATGACCGAATGCTATATTTTTTGCTGGTCAGCGGCATGAAATATTGATGTAATTAAAGTGTTTTAAAGATTTCATCAGGATCACAGCACTTTTCAGATACCTTAATGGTTCTATAGTTGAAATGAAAAAGCTTACTTTGATACATAGAGTGTATGCCCTTGCACTAGATCAATTTATCAAGATACCCCACATTAACCTCCGATGTACTTGCATACAAATATACGGCAGTGTCAATTAAATATGTAATGTACAGAAAATATATTAATAAAATAGTGAAAAAGACATTAAATTCAAGTTATTGGCTCATAGAATATCTGTAAAAAATATTTCATTTAATTAGAGATTACATATTTTGTTGAGAAAATATTACTTGATGTGTCTCTCACTGCATACAAACTACGTCACGTTGTAAGAAATGACGTCATATTGACAAGTAACTAACGACAAAACAACACATTGTAGTAAGTTTTTTATGTAGTTTGATGATTTCTTACTGGATGAATTATCAGATAAACTCATTTTGTGGTATTTTAAGGTGGGTCGCAGGTTTACTGTATAAAATTCTTACGAGAAAACATGTTCCTTAAGAATTTAAAGCGTATCATCTGCAATTTTAATTAAATTTGCCTAAGTAGTTTTAATGTTATAAAACTGTAAACGCGGTATAGTTTTTAATCCTTTTTGACGCTTTTACCATTGAAATATATGGGAAAATAACGTTTTTAAGCCAATTTTCCGAAAATAGTATCTTTTAAAAAGGTTGGATAACTTTTTAAAAGACGTAATGAATAGACGACTTTCACATTTACAAAAGTTATTCCCCTTTGCGGGGTCAATCCGGGGGTGAACAAGCAGTAAGACGCTGTTTTCCCTCTATAACCTTACCAAATTTATGGGTTATTATTGTCCTAGAAAAATCTTTATGAATATGCCCATTATGTTTTGGATGCTTGTGCACACTCTGGCAATACAGGTACACACCGATATTGTCCTATAACGTTTGAAATTTAAAAATATTAACAGGTAACTTACGAAGGACAAAGTGGGAAAAATCAGCATTACACCAACAACTGGAAATAACGTTTGGAAATGTGAAATTCGTCTATTATTCAGGAATTTCAAAATGTCAAGATAAGGTAAAATCAAAACATTAATATATAAAAAAAAATATTATATCCTTCTCGCTAATTTTTTTGCTAAATAATTTCAAAGTTTTCTTTTAAAATGCTTACAATTTGGCGTTTGTGGCGTTATTAATATCTACAACGTCATTTGTTGAACGTAGTCACGTTTACAGTACAAGTATAAATATATTGACCTATGGAATATTCAAGAATTAAAAGGTGATATCGATACAAAATTTAATTTCATTCATAATTTAATTTATTGCGGGAGCATGTTAAGGATTACCAGCAACTTATTTTCACTAGTATTGTGAAATTCATATTCTGATCACAAAGTCATAATGAACGGTAAAAATAATCCTCGTGCAGCGACATTAAGATGCAGCGACAATGTTCACCGCGAGTGAAAAAATATATTAGTACCTGTATTTTTGGGAAACGCATGGTCAATAGGATTTCAGGCATAAAACAAAAATTTTATCACTTTATTTGAAAAAGGTAGGTAAAACATCCCTATAATGAGGAAATAAGTGGGCAAGAGGGGGGGGGGGAGGGTTGTTACCTGCAATGTTCTTTCATGGGTGAGTTGAAGACTATAGTATATGGCTCTAAATCTCAAGCATTTTCTAATTTGGAATTTTTAAAAATTAATTTCAATACGCAAAATGTAAAACACTTGCATTTAGCTTTTACACGTTGAGCCTTTGTCATAAAATATATAGAAAAAAATTATACTTGTAAATTGTTTACAAAGTTTTGTAATTCGAAAATGAACACGTTTGAATAAATTTAATTTTTAAATTTATTAGCAAGCAAAACAAGGCGGATTGAGTATTTAAATATATAATAACCAACCAATATTAATATTTATAAAAAAAAACAACAGGAAAATACTTGCAATTAAATATAACTTATTTTAAGTAAAGAGGATAATTTCCATCCTGAAAAGCAGTACGCATATACTTTCGCCGGCTTTGAGTTGAAGTCAAGTTCCCCTGAGTTTCAAATAACGTGCGCACATACAATCCCTACAAGTTTCTCGCTAAGCAATTTTATTCATGATAACTTTCTTCTGCAAGCCATAACTTTTACGCTGATTTATTCCAATTTACTTTAAGCAGTTTAGTTACACTTTAAATATAATTTATTGCTTTCATTTGGTATTGTATTTAATAAGTCCTAAGACATTACATATAATCACACCAGCATTCAGACTGAAATTTTATTATAAAACATGTACAGGTTTACGTACAAAAGCATGCACTTTGTGTTAAATCTACTTTTAAATTCGTACAAGCTTGAAGTCATTTGCAGAGAATAAAAACGGGAAACAACGTGACGTTGCCTTTGTGACGAAATGACGTCATAATGAAATGTGCACAAAACAACCGCTCGAATCGTCAATATTGTGTACCAAAATTGATGACAAAAGCAAACCCGCGACCTACCTAAAAAAATGTTGTATGACGTATATTGTGTATGATGTCATAGTCAAGTTTTCCGTAACGGCTTCGCCTCCTTTTTTGTAACCTTAACTGTGCTGCGAAGAAATAAACTTCAAGCTATATTTAATTGTTTTTTTATAAAACAAATATGTGAGAAACCTTTCAGGAACAAGTTGTCCACTATAGCCAGCCAAGCCTTTACTGCATGTGCACAGTTTTAGTTGATGCATCTGAAAGATATAGTTTTGATTCGTGTTTCTTCTGTTTTCTTTTATTCAAATAATTTTAAAATGTGGTGATGTACACAACAAATTTACTTTAGAGGATTTTTTTTGGGGTCTCTTGTTTGAAACAACGCGCGGCATTGTGGAAATAGGAGGGCACTAAAGACGCGATGTACTAAAAACTGATTTGACCTGATTTGAAAATTGTATGTAAATATTCCAAACAATTGAATTTTTGTATAGCATAATGCATCAGAGTCATAAAGTCTTTACATAAGTAATTTAAAATATA